TCAATCAGTACCAGCCATTCCAAAATCACACTGAATGCTAAAGAGCTTCAACATAATGAAGAATCTACAACAACTAACAGGCAAAACAGCCACTTAGCATCAAAATGGCAGTATCAAATTCACACATAACAATATTAACCCTAAATGTAAATGGACTAAATGCACCAATCAAAAGACACAGACTGGCAAACTGGATAAAAATCCAAAACCCATCAGTGTGCTGTATCCAGGAAACCCATCTCACATGCAAGGATACACAAAGGCTCAAAATAAAGGGATGGAGGAAGATTTACCAAGCTAATGGAAAGCAAAAAAAAGCAGGAGTTGCAATTCTCATCTCTGATAAAATAGACTTTAAAGCAACAAAGATCAAAAGAGACAAAGAAGGCCATTACATAATGGTAAAAGGATCGATACAACAAGAAGAGCTAACGATCCTAAACATATATGGACCCAACACAGGAGCACCCAGATACATAAGGCAAGTTCTTAATGACTTACAGAAGGACTTAGACTCCCACACAATAATAGTGGGAGACTTTAACACTCCACTGTCAATACTAGACAGATCAACCAGACAGAAAATCAACAAGGATACCCAGGGCTTGAACTCAGACCTGGAGCAAGCAAACCTGGTGGACATTTACAGAACTCTCCACCCCAAATCCACAGAATACACATTCTTCTCAGCACCACGTCACACCTACTCTAAAATTGACCACATAATTGGAAGTAAAGCACTGCTCAACAAATGCAAAACAACTGAAATCATAACAAACAGCCTCTCAGACCATAGTGCAATCAAGTTAGAACTCAGAATTCAGAAACCGACCCAGAACCGCACAGCTTCATGGAAACTGAACAACTGGCTCTTGAATGTTGACTGGGTAAACAACGAAATGAAGGCAGAAATAAAGAAGTTCTTCGAAACCAATGAGAACGAAGACACAACGTGCCAGAACCTCTGGGACACATTTAAAGCAGTCTCTAGAGGAAAGTATATAGCAATAAGTGCCCATATGAGGAGAATGGAGAGATCCAAAATTGACACCCTATCGTCAAAATTGAAAGAGCTAGAGGAGCAAGATCAAAAAAACTCAAAACCCAGCAGAAGACAAGAAATTACTAAGATCAGAGCTGAGCTGAAGGAGATTGAGACACGAAAAACCCTTCAAAAAATCAATAAATCCAAGAGCTGGTTTTTTGAAAAGATCAACAAAATAGACAGACCACTAGCCAGATTGATTAAAAAGAAAAGAGAGAACAACCAAATAGATGCAATAAAAAATGATAAAGGGGAAATCACCACAGATTCCACAGAAATTCAAACCATCATCAGAGAATATTACAAACAACTCTATGCGCATAAACTAGTAAACCTGGAAGAAATGGATAAATTCCTGGACTCCTGTGTCCTCCCAAGCCTAAACCAGGAGGAAGCTGAAACTATGAATAGACCAATAACAAGGTCTGAAGTTGAGGCAGCAATTAAGAGCCTACCTCACAAAAAAAGCCCAGGTCCAGACGGGTTCACAGCCGAATTCTACCAGACACACAAGGAGGAGCTGGTACCATTCCTTCTAAAACTATTTCAAACAATCCAAAAAGAGGGAATCCTTCCCAAATCATTTTATGAGACCAACATCATTCTGATACCAAAACCCGGCAGAGACCCAACGAGAAAAGAAAACTTCAGGCCAATATCCATGATGAACATAGATGCAAAAATCTTCAATAAAATATTGGCAAGCCGATTGCAACAGCAAATCAAAAAACTTATTCATCATGATCAAGTAGGATTCATCCCAGGGATGCAAGGCTGGTTTAACATACGCAAGTCTATCAACGTAATTCACCACATAAACAGAACCAAAAACAAAAACCACGTGATTATCTCAATTGACGCAGAGAAGGCATTTGACAAAATTCAACAGCCCTTTATGCTAAAAACCCTCAATAAACTCGGTATCGATGGAATGTATCTCAAAGTAATAAAAGCTATTTATGACAAACCAACAGCCAATATCATACTGAATGGGCAAAAACTGGAAGCATTCCCTTTGAAATCTGGTACTAGACAAGGATGCCCTCTTTCACCACTCCTATTCAATATAGTAGTGGAAGTTCTAGCCAGAGCAATCAGGCAAGAAAAAGAAATAAAGGGTATTCAAATAGGAAAGGTGGAAGCCAAATTGTCTCTATTTGCAGACGACATGATAGTATACCTAGAAGACCCCATCGCCTCAGCCCAAAAACTCCTGAAACTGATAAACAACTTCAGCAAAGTCTCAGGATATAAAATCAATGTGCAAAAATCACAAGCATTTGTCTACACCAATAACAGACTTAAAGAAAGCCAAATCAAGAGCGAACTGCCATTCGCAATTGCTACAAAAAGAATAAAATACCTTGGAATACAACTCACAAGGAACGTAAGGGACCTCTTCAAGGAGAACTACAAACCACTGCTCAACGAAATCAGAGAGGACACAAACAGATGGAGAAACATTCCATGTTCATGGTTAGGAAGAATTAATATCGTGAAAATGGCTATACTCCCCAAAGTAATTTACAGAATCAACGCTATCCCCATCAAGCTACCATTGACTTTCTTCACAGAACTGGAAAAAACCACCATGAACTTCATATGGAACCAAAAGAGAGCCCGCATAGCCAAGTCAATTCTAAGCAAAAAGAACACAGCGGGGGGCATCACACTACCGGATTTCAAACTATACTACAAGGCTACAGTAATCAAAACAGCATGGTACTGGTACCAAAACAGAGATATAGACCAATGGAACAAAACAGAGGCACCGGAGGCAACACAACATACATACAACTATACAATCTTTGATAAACCTGACAAAAACAAGCAATGGGGAAAGGATTCCATGTTTAACAAATGGTGTTGGGAAAACTGGCTAGCCATGTGCAGAAAGCAGAAACTGGACCCCTTCCTGACACCTTACACTAAAATTAACTCCAGATGGATTAAAGACTTAAACATAAGACCTGGCACCATAAAAACCCTAGAAGGAAATCTAGGCAAAACTATCCAGGACATAGGAGTAGGCAAGGACTTCATGAACAAAACACCAAGAGCATTGGCAACAAAAGCCAAAATAGACAAATGGGACCTAATGAAACTCCACAGCTTCTGCACGGCAAAAGAAACAGTCACTAGAGTGGATCGGCAACCAACAGAATGGGAAAAAATTTTCGCAGTCTACCCATCTGACAAAGGGCTGATATCCAGAATTTACAAACAACTCAAGCAGATTTACAGGAAAAAAACAAACAAGCCCATTCAAAAGTGGGCAAAGGATATGAACAGATACTTTACGAAAGAAGACATATATGAGGCCAACAATCATATGAAAAAATGGTCATCGTCACTGGTCATAAGAGAGATGCAAATCAAAACCACATTGAGATACCATCTCACGCCAGTTAGAATGGCGATCATCAAAAAATCTGGAGACAACAGATGCTGGAGAGGATGTGGAGAAAAAGGAACACTTCTACACTGTTGGTGGGAGTGTAAATTAGTTCAACCATTGTGGAAGACAGTGTGGCGATTCCTCAAGGCCTTAGAAATAGAAATTCCATTTGACCCAGCAATCCCATTACTGGGTATATATCCAAAAGACTATAAATCGTTCTACTATAAGGACACATGTACACGAATGTTCATTGCAGCACTGTTTACAATAGCAAAGACCTGGAATCAACCCAAATGCCCATTGATGATAGACTGGATTGGAAAAATGTGGCACATATACACCATGGAATATTATGCAGCAATCAGAAATGATGAGTTCGTGTCGTTTGTAGGGACATGGATGAATCTGGAAAACATCATCTTCAGCAAACTGACACAAGAACAGAAAATGAAACACCACATATTCTCACTCATAGGTGGGTGATGAAAAATGAGAACACATGGCCACAGAAAGGGGAGTACTAAACACTGGGGTCTATTGGGGGGAAAAGGGGAGGGCCAGTGGGAGGGGGAGGTGGGGAGGGATAGCCTGGGGAGAAATGCCAAATGTGGGTGAAGGGGAGAAGAAAAGCAAAGCACACTGCCATGTGTGTACCTACGCAACTGTCTTGCATGCTCTGCTCATGTACCCCAAAACCTATAATCCAATAAAAAATTAAAAAAAAAAAAAAAAAAAAAAAAAGAAAACAAATATAGAAAGAGGCAACTGAAGGATTGAGCCTAGCACTATACCACAACGCTTTGATGTCACAAAGAAAAGTACAGCTAGCAAAGGAGACTGGGAACAAACTGCCAGTAAAATTTAACAGGAAAACAAGCAGAGTGTGGTTTCTCCAGAAAAACTAATCAAACAAAGTGTTTCAAGAAGTGGTGACTGATAATGTCAAATGCTACTGTGGGGTATGTCAAATGCTTTGCGGAGATTTGGTAAGATTATGCTTCCTTTGCTGTTATATGTCATTTCTTGATGCTGGGAGTGCAGCTGCTTCTAGGAATCCTTCCTACCTCTTTCTAACTGTTTTTACTTCTATAGAATAGGGTATTATATAACCAAGCTTCTTAACACTATATGCAAAATAATTGTAAATAGGTTCTGAAAAGGATGTGAGAGGGACTCCAATAAGCAAGGCGAATGAACTTCAGTGAATTAATTTTGTAACATTATTTATCTTCATCTATCATCAAGAGAGCCAAGGATTTTGATAAACTCTGAAAAATTATATAGAAGTTATATATGAAAACTGGAAAATGATGAAGAAAAAGAGGTCATACACTAGCAAGGCTTTAGAGAATAACCATACAAATGGGGTAAAAACTCCAATAAAACAAACAACTAAAAGAAACACACATCCTGTATAAGGACAAAAAACTTAGCCCTGATAGATTTATCTTTCAGTAGCTTTGGTAGCTGTACTCATAATTCCTTAACAGAGGGGCAGGATATGACACAGGTATATTAGTGAGAATAAATTAATTCAAAATTTAAACTACTTACCGGCAAGCACAAGGGTAATATTCAGTACAATGAATATTCCACAAAATAGGCCAACTCTAAAAGTAGTCCATGCTGGTGCAGGCTGTGGATAGAAAAACAGCAGTTTGAGCATAGGACAAAACACTGATCGTATTTATTATATGCTGTTATAAAATAGTAGAATGAGTCTCAAAGTTCTACCATGAAAATATACTTTATATTCTAAATTTTTATAAATCTGAGCCAGTCAATCAGCCTTCATCATCCTATAATACAATTCAAGTCGCCAGTTAATCGAGTGCTTTTACAGAAAACTGTGTCATGAAATAAGCAAGATTATAAGCTGAGGCATTAAATTATAGTATGTGGATTCTACACTCAAGGAATCAGCTAACTGTGGATTGAAAATATTCAGGAACAAAAATCAGTAAAAAAAATAACAAAACAACAATACAAATAAAAACAATGAGTGTAACAACTGTTTACACAGCATTTACATTGTATTAGGTTTTCTAAGTAACCCAGAGATCATTTAAAGAATATAAGAGGATGGGCACATTATATGCAATACTATGCCATTTTGTAAGGGACTTGAGTATCCATGGATTTTGATATCCACAGCATCCTAGAACAAATCTCCAACAGATACTAAGGAATGACTCTCTCTCTCTCTCTCTCTCTCTCCCCATCTATCTATACATATATATATATACACACACACATTGAGTTTTGTAAATAGGAGTTAAGATGCAATTACATTTTTATAATATATATATCTCTAAATATTTAAAGCCAGTATTCCTCAGAGTTTGCACATTTGGTACATCTTCTCTAATTATATAATTAGAGACAAGAATGCTTACTTTCTGATAGTACTTACTTACATTATTATACTGAGGTCATTTTTTTTTTTTTTTCTTTTTCAGAGACATGGTCTGGCTTTATCACCTAGGCTGGAGTGCAGGGGTGTAATTACAACTTACTAAAGCCCCGACTTCCCAGACTCAAGTGATTCCCCACTTCAGCCTCCAGAGTAGCTGGGACTACTTTGTGTACCACCACGCCCAGCTAAGTTTTATATTTTTTGTAGAGATGGGGTGTCACTGTGTTGCCCAGGCTGGTCTCAAACTCCTAGGCTCAAGCAATCCACCTGCCTTGGCCTCCCAAAGTGCTGGGATTACAGGTGTAAGCCACAGTGCACGGCCCATATTGGGGTAATTTAAACTGAATTTTTCAAGATATACTAGAGGTTCTTAAGAGACTGGTATATCAAAATCTAAAGAGTATGTAATTTAAAAAATATTATCTATTGTAATTTAATTTCATATTTAGAAAGTAATTTTAAAAATTTCTGTTTCTAAAACGAGTGTGTAATAGAAAGTACCTAAGATTGTAAATGTAAAGTGATGAAGAACACAGAGACAGATAATCTTATAGACTTAAATATTTGCTATGAACATTATAAAATTTTTTGTTGTTAGAGATGATAGTACATTTCAGATACTTTATTTCCTAAAAACATTCAAAAACAAAGTGTTGAGACTCCTTCTGTCTTATTATAATTACTTACTAATACAGTAACAGATTTTAACTGTATTGTTAGTTTCTGACTGAAAGCATCCAAAAGATAGTCATTTGTCTTTTCCAAAGAGAAAAACTTATCTTTAGTTTTAAAAATTGTTTATCATATATACAAAAGAATGTATGTAATTTATTTGGGCTGTTAGAATGAATAATAAAGTGAACTTATAACTATTAACCATATTTAGAAGCTGAACATTTCTGTTAACTTTGAAGTCCCTATTCCTCCCTGATCCCAAAACTTTTCTACCTCACCAGAGATAACCATTTTCAGGTTTTCTTTAGCTTTACCATCTCTACAGGCATTCCTAAACATCTTAATTTTTTGAAATGAATTTTTAAAAGTTTATTCAAAAATAACTGACATAAATAAATTGCACATACTTAAAAGTAAAAAGTATAGGATTTGTATCTTTACTCTCTGGATGCTTTTAAGATTTTTCTAGTTATATCCAAGGAGTTTGACAATCATATGCTTATGCTTTTTAAAAACTGCTTTACTGACTAAATTTATATACAATAAATTGTATATATTCCAAGTGTACAATTTGATGAGTTTTGATACTGTACAAACATCGACAAAACCATCAGCATAATCAAGACAATGAACATATCCACAACCCCCAAGAATTTCCCATGTGCCTTTGTAATCCTTTCCTCCAGCCTACACTACCCCACTCTATTCACAAGCAATCACTGATCTGCTTTCTGTCACTATTTGTCATTTTTCTGGAGTCTTTGGTTACTGATATCATACAGTAGATACTCTTTTTTTTCTGCTTTCTTTCTCTCCACGATTAATTTGAGATTTATCAATTGATTATTCCTTTTTATTGCTGAGTAGTTCTTCATTGTATGGATATATCATAAATTTTTTATCCATTCACCTACTGACAGATATTCGGGTTGTTTAGATGCTATGAACATTTGCGTAGAAGTCTTTATATGAACACATATTTGCATTTCTCTTGGGTAAATACCTAGGAGGGAAACAGCTAGATCATATGGTAGGTGTACACTTAACTTTTAAGAAACAGCTAAACTGCTTTCAAATGTGTTCATTCATTATACATTTTATATTTCACCACAGCGTATTAGAAAAGAGAGTTCCTATTCCTCCATCATTTAGTATGATTAGTCTTTTAACAGAGAATATATTATCTTGCTGTGGTTTTAATTAGCATTTCTATAATGCCTAATGATATTGAGCATTTTGTCACATGCTCATTTGCCACCTGTACATCTGCGAAGAAACGTTTGGGTCTTTTGTCCATTTTTAAAAGTTGGTTTGATTGTTTTCTTTCTATTGAGTATTGGAGTTCTTTTTATATTCTAAACATAAGTCCTTTAATAGATATGTTTTGTAAATATTTTCTGCTAGTCTCTTGCTTTTCTTTTCATTCTCTTAACATATCTTTTGAAGAGCATAAGTTTTTAACTTTGATGAGGTGGTTTTGATGTCATTTCTAAGAAATCTTTGCATAATCCAAAGTCAGTAGGACTGTCTTCTATATTTTCTTCTAGAAATTTGTAGTTTTCAGTTTTCATTTCAGACTATGTGGTACATTTTAGAACTGTATGGTGTGACATATGGATGAAAGCTCTTTTTTTTTTGGTATATGTGATTCAACTGTTTCGGCATCATTAGTTGAAAACACTATCTTTCTCCATTAATCTGCTTTGTATCTGTATCAAAAAATCTGTTGTAATATGTTAGTCTATTTTTGTACACTCTATTCTGGTCCATTGATCTATTTGCCTACTATGACACTACCACCAAACTCTCTTGATTACTGTGGCTTTAATAAGCTTTCATAAGGTAATGTTAATCCCTCAATTTAGTTGTTCCAAAGCTGCTTTGGCTATTCTAGGTCTTCTGCATTTCCATATACTTTTTTTTTTTTGGAGATAGAGTCTTGCCCTGTTCCCAGGCTGCAGTGCAGTGGCGTGATGTCGGCTCACTGCAACTTCCACCTCCTGGGTCCAAGTGATTCTTGTCCCTCATCCTCTCAAGTAGCTGGAATTACAGGCATGTGCCATCAAGCCTGGCTAATTTTGTATTTCAGTCAAGACAGGGTTTCATCATGTTGGCTAGGCTGGTCTTGAACTCCTGGCCTCAAGTGATCCACCTGCCTTGGCTTCCCAAAGTTCCGGGATTACAGACATGAGCCATTGTGCCTGGCTGCATATACATTTTTAAATCTGCTTACCAATTTTACAAAACAAAACAAAAAAGCCTTCTGAGATTTCTGAGCTGGAATGTATTATATCTACAGATCACCTCAGGAAGAAACAATGTATCTTTAAAATACTGGGTTTGTGCAATATACCCATGAACACAGCATCGCTTTCATTCAAGTCTTTAATTTTGCTCAGCAGTGTTTTGTAGTTGTCAATATAAAGGCCTTACATGTCCTTTGTCAGAATTATTACTAAACATTCTATATATTTTGATGGTATTATAAATAGCACTGCTTTAACATTTTTTTATTTCCAATTGTTCTTGCAAGTATGTAGATATACAAATGACTTTTACATATTGGTCTTATATTTGGAGACCTTGCTAAACTCATTTATTAGTTCTAGTAGCTATTCTACAGATTCACTAGATTTTCTACATAGATCAAGTCACTGGCAAAACCCCACTGATTTTACTTCTTCCTTTCTACCCTGAATGCCTTTTATTTCTTTTTACTTCCCTTACTGCACTGGCTATAATCTCTAGTACAATGTTGACTAGAGGTGTTAAAAGTGAATGCCCTTTTTGCCCCAAGTCTTAGGAAGAAAGCATGAGAATGATAATAACTGTAGAGGGTTTTTTTGTTTTTTTTTTCATAGATGCTTTTCATTAGGTTATGGAAGCTGTTTCTGTTATTGATTTCTATTCCACTGTTGTCTGAAAAGATACTTTGTGTGGCTTAATTCCTTCTGTATTTACTGAGAATTGTTTTATGACACAGAAGATATTACTTAATAAATGCTTTCTTTTTTATAACTACTGTGTAGATATCATTTAACAAATGCTTTTTTGGTGTAACTGCTGCATTTTGAATAAAGCCATATAGCAATCCAGCATATCTGAAGCCACCATATCATTTTTTAAAATCACATCTTAATCACTTGATGACATCAAGAAGTTAGCAGGTCAATAAGAATAAATAAGAGAGAAAATACAGTATAAGAAGAGAGAAAGGTGAAAGACCAATAATTCACAATGAAGTAAAATATAGCATATAATGTTTAATAAAATAAGTAGCAACGACTTATAAACTTTGTCTGAAAATTTTTTAAGGCAATGAAACCAGCTAAATATTGTGTTGATTATTAAACAGGTGAAATCAAACAAAGTATTTAAAGCAAATACTAACCTGAGCAGCTCCCAAAGGGGGGACACGTAAACGCTTCATAGCCTTTTGTCTGTCACCATCTTCAAGTTCATTGGTCACTACAGCCTAGAAAGACAAATTAAATTTTGGTTAGGTTATATTCAACTTGAGTGATGAACAAATAATTCTGTACCATGTATATATGACATATTCTGATAACTTTTTGGTGAATGTATACTGATAAAGAAAAGGAAAAAAAATCACAATTAGGGCACATATATTAAAAGCTACCAACTAGTTACAAAATAACAGAAATAAGGAATTGCTTCCCTAAAAACAAAACATGTAACTGAAAATATGTGGTAAATAAATAAGATTACCATACCTCAGTTTCAGAGATAAGCTGGTTGATTTTCTTGCATGTATAAAATGGAGCCACTTCTACATGAGCCACTCGCCAATCTGCTCCACGAGATGTTTCCAGGATCTTGTCATGCTTTTTAAGGATTTTTCGAAACCCTGTAAAATTCAGATTCTACAAAAAGAAATGAGAAACACAACTATAATTTTCACTACCATCAAAAAAGATGAAAAAGAATAAGCACTAAGCACTGACAGAGCTGGCTGGACAAACACTGAGTACTCAAGGAAATGGCAATGCTTTCATAAAAGCATCTACTACTAAAAGGATGAGACTCTTATTTTTTATTTCTTTTATTCATTTCAAGATAGTATGCTATTAGTAACACAAAGAAATCCTGAACTATGAACCCTATTATTTCTCTTCCAAGTAAATTAATGAAAGCCCTAAGCTCAAAATGTTTTTGTTTCCAGTTTTCTATGTATAATTATTTTCAAAATAGCTAATTTCTATTATTTTGCTGCTTTTGTCAAAAGAATTATTTTCAGAAAATGTTTTACATTTGCCATGTACTGAACACATTTATTTAGTTCTTTGTCTTTTGAAGGACTGGTATAGGAGTACATATCTCCCCCTGCATACAACCATGCATGTTCCAGTAAGGAAAATGGAAGATCATCTAGTGCTCTTAATTTTCATTTTCCTTCCACTGACTCTCAGTTTAGGTATGGGAGTACAAAGAACAGTAAGTAGAAAGGAAGAAGTGATCATACTTACAGGGTTCAGTTTGTAATGGGTAGAAGCCTTTCCTCAATTTCTACAATAACAAAATACTATACTTTTCAGCATCTCAAATTCTGTTGTATTTTTGCCCAGCATGCAAGAAAGCAGAAATCTCAATTTGCAAGGTTAGATGTTTAAACCAGAGGTTTCCCAAATTTGCTGATTACATATCCTTAATAGTAAAAAATTGTGCACTCACTCCAACATAGGCTTTCCTTACTTACTTATTTACCTATTTTTCCCTCACGCTTTAATGTACGATCTTAAAGTCTCTGTGGGGTGCATACATGCATCGTGACTTAGAAATAGCTTTTAACCCATCTTCCTTTCTCCTTCATTCTCAAAATAAATGTATTATTGCAGAATAGATGACCCCCAAAGAATACAAGATAAAGCAGAACTTTTATAATTAAGTATTGTTTTTGTTTTCCCAAGGACCATGTTTTGGGAAAGCAGGAAGCAAACTGTTAGTCCTTGAGTTGTGGGCTACCCCTAAATACTAAATATTATACAAAAGTTTTTAGAATATGAATCTTCAAAAATAGAAGTCTTATTATTAACACAGTTTTACTGCCTCTGATGCATGGTTTTTAGCCAATAGAACCCGAAGAATAACAACATGCTAAGAATTTTTCTGTTTGGAATTGACCCACTGGTATACATTAAGGTATTTCCATTTGTTGAAGTTTTCTCATTTACTTAAGGAGTTTTGTTTTCCCTTTTATAATGACCTGAACAAAAGTTGTTAAGAAAGTTAATACAATAAAATTTAACAAACATTTTTCCATGTAACACACAAACATAGTTTATGAACTATGAGATGTTAATGTTGTTATACCATTATAGGAAAGAGGAAATACATTTTGTTTTTGTTTTTTAAATCATACAGCAACGAACAAATCTTGAAGCAAAGGTATTTATGACTATATAAACATATGCAATTATTTTTCTATTAAGTTGTTTTCTTACTAGATTTGTCTTCAAATGATAAAATACTAAATCACTAAAGAACAAAGTGGACTTATAGAAGAAAAAGATAAAAATAAGCACATGCATTAACAATTTAAGATTACTGAAGATATGGGATTTTACTTTTTATTTTAAAATTCAAACACTCAAGGTAATACTTTTGTTGCACAATCTTTAGTTTTAATACAGTGTATCATCCTATGATGATCCTAACCACTCACTATAAGTAATAATCACAAGAATAAAATGAGCCGGGCACGGTGGCTCACAAGGTCAGGGGTTTGAGACCAATCTGACCAACATGGTGAAACCTGGTCTCTACTTAAAAATGCAAAAATTAGCCAGGCGTGGTGGTGCAAACCTATAATGCCACCAACTTGGGAGGCCAAGGCAGGAGAATTACTTGAACCCAGGAGGCGGATGCTGAGGTAAGCCAAGAGCACACCACTGCACTCCAGTCTGGGCGACAGAGTGAGACTCCATCTCAAAAAAAAAAAAAAAGAAAAAATAGTGTATAAGGTCGCTCTAAAGATCTAGGTGATGCTTTTCTCAGTAACTTTTAAAAAATGCTATTTTACTGAAGCCCATGGACAAAAAAATTGGAAGGATTCCTTCAGTTGCAAGTTGAAAAGTCAGGGTCTTTGTTTTATTAGTGTCAGCTGCATAAAAATTAACTGTCTGATAGCTTTTGTAGAAATTTTGCTATTGGTTAGGAAAAATATAAAAGTTCTTACTGGACAGGAGCATTGGCTCAGGCCTATAATTCTAGCACTTGGGAGGCCAAGGCAGGCAGATCACTTTAGATCGGGAGTTCAAGAACAGCCTGGCCAACGTGATGAAACCCCATCTCTACTAAAAATATAAAAATTAGCTGGGCATGATGGCACGTGCCTGTAGTCTCAGCTACTCAGGAGGCTGAGACAGGAGAACTGCTTGAACCCAGGAGGCAGAGGTTGCAGTGAGCCGAGATTGTGCCATTGCACGCCAGCCTGGGTAACAGTGAGACTCTATTTCGAAAAGAAAAAAAAAAAGCCCTTACATAGCCAACAGTGGTTGGAGAGACATATTATTTCTATTCATGACTATCAGAGCTGCGTCTAAAAGCAGGAAGCAAACTGTTAGTCCTTGAGTTGTGGGCTACCCCTAAATACTAAATATTATACAAAAGTTTTTAGAATATGAATCTTCAAAAATAGAAGTCTTATTATTAACACAGTTTTACTGCCTCTGATGCATGGTTTTTAGCCAATAAGAACCCGAAGAATAACAACATGCTAAGAATTTTTCTGTTTGGAATTGACCCACTGGTATACATTAAGGTATTTCCATTTGTTGAAGTTTTCTCATTTACTTAAAGTTGTCATTTTCTACAGTAAGAATCTAAGTACCTGATAGTTCTGCAGCAGGATTAGACTGAGGTAGAACTCGCTGAAGGCCAGTTTAAGATCTTTGATATTCCTATGTTGGACACGTTCCTCATGGGACAAGTGGAAGACTGGCTTTCTGCGTTGTCGCAGCGTGGTAACACCAGTGCTTTCTTTCTGTGCATCCAGCGATGACTGAAGCTCATTCTGAAGTGTAGCAAACCTGCGCTGAGCCTCTGCGAGCTTCTCTATAAGAAATAAAACAAAACTGTCAAATCAGTAAAATTAAAAAGTTCTGACTTGTGAATTTTAAATAATTATTCCCATTTGCTCCCCTAGAATTTCTAGAAAAAAAAACCCTGCTACATGTAATATTTAGAACTCGATAGGAAAAGATATTTTTGTGTAACATATTCCTTTCATTCTACCCCTCACAAAACCTCATGTATCCTTTCTTTTCATAAATGAATAAATAAAATGTAAAGAGCCACTAAGAGTGAAAATATGAAATGGTATAGACTCTCTGGTATTTGGAAAATAGCTGGCAGTTCTCAAAAAATTAAACATATGATTCAGCAATTCCATTCATAGGCCTATACCTAAGAGAGCTGAAAACATATGTTCACACAAAAACTTGTATACACATACTAACTTGCATTTATAATAGCCAGAAAGTGAAAACAATCCAAATGTCCATCGAGGAACAGATAAACTGTGGTGTACATGCATGTGTATATATATAAATACACAATAGAATCAGCCATAAAAAAATGAAGTACTAATTCATGCTATGACATGGGTGAACTTTGAAGACATTATGTGAAAGAAACCAGACACAAAATACCCAATAGTGTATGATTCCATTTATATGAAATGTCCAGGATCAGGAAATCCACACAGATAGAAAGTAGATTAATGCTTGCCATGGGCTGAGCAGAAGGCGAATGGGGAGTGATTGCTAATGGGTATGAGATATATCTCTAGGATGATAGATATAAATGTTCCAGAATTGGTTATGATGGTTCTACAACCTTGTGAATAAACTAAAAACCATGGAATTACACACTTTAAAGAGGTATATTTTATGGCATATAAATATTTCAATTTTAAAAAGCTATTAAGAAATGTTTCTGGTTATACAGTTAGGTCAGAAACAGGATTAGAATTTGGGCTTTAGAATTTTAATTTCCTGGATTTCCCACTATACTTCTTTACTTCTCAAAGACAGGTATTACAAGAAGCGATTAAGACTTGCAAATTATGTTATTAAAAATACTAGGTATATCTGGATATATGTGTTTGTGTTACACATACATTTAAAAATAATACTCTGTAATTTTTCTTCTAAGGTCACAATTTAGTTCACTGGAACCAGCCAGATTTCGGTTCAAATCCTTTCCGCATTAACTAGCTGTATGATTTTAGTCAAGAGTTTTTGTTTTTTCTTTTACACGTTAGGCATTTCTATTGCAAATGTGTTTTTCTTATCATTCTCAAGATCAAAAACAGTATAGATCTTCCTGGTTCTTTCTTGATTCATGATGCCCTTAGTGTTCCAGTAATATTTTCATGATGCTTCTAGGCCAAAAGAAATAATTAATGCTTCTATTTATTAAATAGTCAGATTCAAACAGCTTAAGTATTTACGTTCTAACAACTTAGAAACTATCTGAAAAAATATTACACACAATATACACACAAACGTATAATGAAATAAAACAAGGATTTATCTAAGGGCAACTATAAATTAGTCTGCTAACTAAAATCCTCACATAAATTAGCCAGAAGACAGAATATCACACGTAATAAAAATGCTTAACCTTTATTGTTAAAAGATTAGTATATGAATTTGCTAACTGTTTAGTGTCCTTAGTCAGAATTGTCAATACATTTACACTTCTCATTATGTACATATTAAAAATGTATTAAGCCCAAAAACGAAAATAAAGAGGACCTGTTACTTCCTGTGTGCCAACAATAAGTCAAGACACAAATGCCTCTCCATCTGGAAAACTCTGTACTCATTTTGCAAGGCTAATCTCAAACACTGCTTTCTATATAAAGTTTTTCAAATTTTTTTTTTGAGACAGAGTCTCACGCTGTCACCAGGCGCCAGGCTGGAGTGCAGTGGCACAACCTCAGCTCACTGCAACCTCCACCTTCCGGGTTCCAGCAATTTTCCTGCCTCAGCCTCCCAAGTAGTTGGGACTACAGGCGGTGCCACCACGCCCAGCTAATTTTTTAATTTTTAGTAGAGATGGGGTTTCACCATGTTGGCCAGGATGGTCTTGATCTCCTGACCTCGTGATCCACCCACCTCGGCCGCCCAAAGTGCTGGGATTACAGGCATGAGCCACCGTGCCCGGCCAAGTTTTTCATATTTAACAGCTCTCTCAGTCACAAATGAAAACTCCCACCTTAGGGCTCTTATGGGACCACATACATACAGTCAAAGCACACTGCATGTAATTCTTCATTTATGTTTGCTTCAATGACTGACTAAACTCTAAAGGTAACAGTGCTAAAATCTTTATCTTTTTTCATAATGAAAATTTATTTTAAATATCAATTTGAGGTATAACTTACCTACCATAGGATTCATCTATTATAAACATCAATTCATTTTTAGTAAATTTGTAGAGTTGTACAATCATCATCGAAATCCAATTTTAGAACCACATTTCTGTTCACCTCATGTACTGCCATCACGGCCATTAGCTGTCAATCCCCACTTCCACCCCCTACTCCAGGCAACCAATGATCTGTATTCTGTCTCTGTTGATCTGCCTTTTCTGGACATTGTATGTAAAGGAATCATAAAATATGTAATCTTTCATGTCTGTCTGGGTTCTATAATTTGGCTTGATGGTTTTGAGGTTAATCCGTTTTGTATCGTAATGTAAGTCTGTTATACTTAGTTCCTTTTATTGCCAAATAGTATTTCATTGTGTGAATATATATTTTGTTTAAATATTCTTTAGTTTGCAGACATTTGAGTTGTTTCTAGTTTTTTAAACTATATAAATATGCTATTAACATTCTCATACAAGTTTCTGCATGGACTATCATCTTTGTACCATAAAAAGCTTGCATATAGTACACTCGATCCATGTTTGCTGAATAGATGGGTAAAAGTTCTCTCTAGTAATCTACATTCCTATATGGAAATGGAGAAGATATCAACACTTCAAGTGTATTTTGCTACTTTCTTTAAAGTAGTGTTCTCTTCCTTAATGGCATAACTACGTAGAAGAGCCCATAAGAATCCCTGGGTAGGGGTAGGGGAATACAAAGCATATATAGTTTGAAAAAAATCACATTCAACATTACCACAGCTATGGTATGAGATTTTCATATCAGATGGGTATAAATTTAAAAAGAACAAGAAATACTGCTTTCAACATCAAGTATCCCAATCTATTTTGCAATGACACTTCAGTTCCCTAGAGCCAGAACACCAGAAAGCTCAAACACATGCAAATGCACAGAACCTGGAAAAGGGTGTGTGTGTGCATGCGTGCATGTGTGCGTGTGTGTGTGTGTGTGTAAAAATGTATACTCTGATCTATTAATGAAAATTTATTTACAAATACACTTATATAAATAAAATGAATCTCAGGGCCCTTTTGATACATGTTAAGCATTTCTACTGCAAATGTGTCTGTCTTATGCTCAAGATCAAAAACAGAACTTCTTGGTTCTTGGTGTAGAACTTCTTGGCTCTTTCTTGGTTCATGGTGCACTTTGCATCTCAGTAATATTTTCATGATGCTTCTAGGCCAAAAGAAATACCTATTTATTAAGTAGTCAAGTTCAAACAACTTAAGTATTTATGTCCTAACAACTTAGAAGGTATCTGAAAAAATATTACACACGATATGTCTAGAGACGGGTTTTTGCCGTGTTGGCCAGGCTGGTCTCAAACTCCTGACCTCAGGTGATCCACCCGCCTCAGCCTCCCAAAGTGCTGGGATTACAGGCGTGAGCCACCACAACTGGCCAAGTGGCTCCTTTAATTTCACTTCCCCTACTACCCTCCCTACTTCTTTAAATAGTTCTTAAGTAACTGATTCTACTGTAATGAACTCAAGAGAATCATGATGCAGGAAAATATGTTAAAATACAGGAATTTTAAACAATATACTAACCTATGACCACTAAAAATATATATTTAATCCACATTTTAACACATACATGAGCAAAGAACAAAATGAGCCATTAAGACATAGTTTAGATACATGCATACTAGACACATGTATCACTTCTGAAATCAAAATTTACTATTTCAGTATAAAAGATTCTTATGTTTCATTACACACATTTAGTGAAATAACAATATACAGTGCCAAAAATTCTTTTTGTATAAACAGTATAAATTAATAATGAAGAAAAATAAACATACAGCAAGACACTATAAAACAGGATTACAAGAATAACTGTATAATAAGAATAGCTCTTAGTAATTGTTATCCAATTGGTCTTGCATTTATATGAAGCCAGAAAATATTTTACAGCCAAGAAAAAGTCTGTTTCTATTATAATTTTCCTACTAATACAACATCAGTGCAATTACTTTCCCTCTTCCCTCTCACCTGCCTTTCCTTCTTCTTCTTATTCTTCTTTTTTTTTTTTTGAGACGGAGTTTCGCTCTTGTTACCCAGGCTGGAGTGCAATGGCGCGATCTCGGCTCACCGCAACCTCCGCCTCCTGGGTTCAGGCAATTCTCCTGCCTCGGCCTCCTGAGTAGCTGGGATTACAGGCACGTGCCAACATGCCCAGCTAATTTTTTGTATTTTTAGTAGAGACGGGGTTTCACCATGTTGACCAGGATGGTCTCGATCTCTTGACCTTGTGATCCACCCGCCTCGGCCTCCCAAAGTGCTGGGATTACAGGCACCCGGCCCTTTCCTTCTTTTTTAGTAAAGAAAGAGAAAGCATGTAACACTGCTGTGAGTTCCCAATGTAACTGAAGCCAAAAAAATTCAGCCAGAAAAAAAAAACAAAGAAAAAGCACTTAGCTATTTCAAAATTCCAGACAATAAAAGGGGCTTGACTGTTCTGTGAAATATAAGAAGCAACATAGATATTCTTTTTTTTTTATCATCAAGCACATAAACACTGTTTAGAAGCTAAATATTTTGAATGAAGAGAAAAGGCAAACTGGTTTGGAAAAAGTGAAGTGATCAGTTGGATCAGCTGTCCATTGAAAAAAAGACATTACTGGTCACCACAAAAAGGGTTTCCAATTATATAGCATTCAGGATTGATACTATTTTCAGTGATAGCAGAGACTCAAGAAACTCTACGTTAGGGATTAGCAATGTTTTTACCATGAAGGACCCCTCCTTTTCACAATTCACTTCTCTTCCTATTATCTTCAAATACTGAAAGATTTTATCTATAAATATAAATGTCAATTTTTAATCAAAGATACATAATAAACAATAAAGACAAACAAAATAACTTACATCAGGTTTTCTGAATATTGAAAATAGCTTCTGATCCTAATGTGGAACCCTAGAGGGTTGGGAATCAATTTGCTTATTTATAAGCAAGTAGCACTGGCAAGAAAAAAATTCCAAATTTTAGCAGCATTCATGCTATATTTTGATTGGCCTTTTTGATGTGATTAGAAACAGATAAAATAAAATATGCCAATTTGTTTTGGGACATTTAAAGGTTCCAGTCAAATATATTTCACTTAAAAATGGACCACTTTTAGCTATTTAACGTGTGAGATATAAGCGGGTGTAGGTATAAGCTAAACTCACCCCATATTGTTTAGTTTTTCTTGTGCCCTAGTGTCTGAGAACTGCAGTCTACAATCTTCTGAGGAGAAGGTGGCTAAATAAGGAGGGAAGAATATACTGTTGAGAACCAGTACCAAATTCTGTTTCTGTAAATCATGTCTTCATATTACCCATCACTTCCTGATCTGGCAAGAGTCAGTCTAGAGACTATTAATTTGTACCTGTGAGGACATCAAGAGACATGCCTCACTGGCCTTGCCAATATACACACAAAACAGGAAGGTATCAAATCATAGCACCAAAACTTTAAATAGTAGCTAGCCTAAAATTATTTTTGAGAAGTGACCTAACTTAAAGAAATTATGTTTCAAACTGAGGGTTGCAACCCAACATAGGGCCATAAAACCAATTTAGTGGATCATAATCAGCATTTTAAAAAAATCAAACAAAAATGGAAAAACATACAAAACATAATATTCTACAAGTACTAAAGATAAGTATTGTTTATAAAAACATTTTAGCCGGGCGTGGTGGCTCAAGCCTGTAATCCTAGCTCTTTGGGAGGCCGAGGCGAGTGGATCACAAGGTCAAGAGATCGAGACCATGCTGGTCAACACGGTGAAACCCCGTCTCTACTAAAAAAATTCAAAAAATTAGCTGGGCATGGTGGTGCGTTCCTGTAATCCCCGCTACTCAGGAGGCTGAGGCAGGAGAATTGCCTGAACCCAGGAGGCGGAGCTTGCAGTGAGCCGAGATCGCGCCATTGCACTCCAGCCTGGGTAACAAGAGTGAAACTCCGTCTCAAAAAAAAAAAAAAAAAATTTTAAATTATTTAAATATATTATATAGTCACTCACATATAGATGTATACAAACTTATATAAAAAAAGTATCTGCATGTATGTGCTGGGTCATAATGTAGATTTTTTTTTCTTTTTACTAAATTTTTACAAAATATAAAAAGCATCTACTGGCCAGATGCAGTGGCTCATGCCTGTAATACCAGCACTTTGGGAGGCTGAGGTGGGTAGATCACCTGAGGTATGGAGTTCGAGACCAGGCTGGCCAACATGGTGAAACCCCATCTCTACTCAAAATAAAAATAAAAAATTAGCCAGGTGTGGTGGTACGCATTTTCAATCCCAGCTATGCAGGAGGCTGAGGCAAGAGGATCACTTGAACCTGGGAGGCAGAGGTTGCAGTGAGCTGAGATTGTGCCAATGCACTCCATCCTGAACAATAAAGCAAGACGCTGTCTCAAAAAAAAAAAGTACTACCAAGAGTAGATATTTTTCTTCATAAACAAGCATTTTCTATTCTTTGTGATATAAATCACCTTTTTAGAGTTGAGCTTAGAGACCCCTCTTTTTCAAAAAAAGTCATAGAGAAAAAAGCTAATAAACTTGATTTTATATATTCATAATTTACAGCCTTACTCTTTCTCAATAATTTCCAATATACTTTCTCAATCTAAATATTTCTTTCATTGCAAATGCCCTCCTGTTTTAGTCTCCTCCTCCTCCTCCTTCTATATGGTCTTCTCTGTCTACATTGCTGATTCCTCTTTATCCTTCTATCTCCTAATTATAGAAATCATCTTTCTCCTTGGGAACATTGCAATCCCTCTTTCCCTTGCAGAAAATCTACCTGCTTGCATGGTTTTAAATAATATTTATATTTTGTCTCTGCCTTCTAGGTGCCCGTAACCTGGTGAAAGAGACAGGCATACATGCCATATTCTTTCATGGCTCTTGCTTGTGCATAAACTGTTCCCTCTGCCCAAGGAAAAAGCCCAGCTACAAATGAAAGATGAGGGGGAGGATATAAAGTTAAGACATTTGCTTGCTCATTTATATTTTGTTTGAAGGGAGTGACTTGCTAAGGAGATTGAATCAGTAAAAAGGGAAGTTAAATACATGTATTTATTAATTCTTAGAGGAAATAATTACTGGAGCAAGGTCTTGAAGAGCTGAAATTTAGTCAGTAGTTGAAAAGATCTGCCATGGAATAAGGAGGGATATCTCTGCTACAAAGATTGGAGGAAAATAAATAAGAATGAGAATGTCTATTAGGCATCTGGGGGAGAAGTACAGATATAATACCATATATCTGCATGGTATTATACTCAACAGATGATGGCCTTTATTTTTGTTTGTAAAGCAGGGAGTATAATGAGCACGATGGGGAAAATGGTGTGGTTAGAGAATTCTGGAGAATGATATAAGGTTTACAAAAGCACTTTGGAGCATGAAAAAGGATACTGATTAGGACCCACAGGAAGCTTTAAGGACATGGTTAAGGGTGCAACAATGAATTTATTCTGTTCCAATTTCTTCTGCTGTTGTCCTACACAGCCTGTGGGGTAGGCATAAAGAAGGTAAAGGGTGAACTGGTTGAGTTTTACTAGGTAGATGCAACATAAGGTCATGAGGGTAAAGAGATTAAAAACACAGAGGTCAAAATGGTTAAAATAATTGACAGAGAAGAAAATAATTCTGGCTGGGTGTGGTGGCCACACCTATAATGCCAGCACTTAGGAAACAGAGGCAAGAGGATAGCTTGAGCCCAGGAATTCAATACCTTTCTAGGCAGCATAGCAAGACCCCATTCTCCACAAAAAGGAAAAAATATGATGAAAAGGAAAAAAGTAGGAAATAATTATAAGAGGTGTATGATAAACTGAAATAAAATGGAAGAGTCAAGAAACTAGAGTTCTGTGAGATGGAAAAACAGATGTTAAAGGAGGAGGGAAGTAAAAAGCTAAAAGACTGGGACACATGGTCACAGACTCATATTCAGTTTCAGTATTTTAGAAGAGAGGAATTCTGGGTGATGGGTATGACTATGTGTGTATGTGGCTAAAGTACAGTGTAACTGAAAATGACTGTCTACAAGGACAATAAACCCATCCAGCAGGATATGAAAAATTAAGATAGAGATTTATTTAGACTGAGAGCCAGGAGTCTAAGTTCACAGCGAGCAACCAAGAGGTTAGTAGATGTCAACAAATAGGAGTGGCAGAAATGGAATATTCTACACAATACTGATGCTAAGAAGAAGATCCACTGTTATAGAAATACACAGAAATACTGATTTGGAGGAACAATAGTATTTTACAGAAATACACAGATACACTGATCTGGAAGAAAAATGGTAGCTAAGGGAATGCTGGGCTCCGTCTCTTGTCTTCTGACAGCTTTTTCTCACTGACTCTTTTTACCTTTTTCCATCTCCTGTCTCACAATACTCTATAAAAGGAATGATCAGCCTCTAGTTGAAGGGGCTGCTGCTGAAAAAGGACATGAGTAAGATGCTTCCAGAAATCATGGAAAAGCAAGGAAAAAAATCATCTGAAGAACAAATTAGTAAAGTCATGAAACTATTCATCATTAGACTAATCCACACTAATATCTGCTTTATGTTTATGCTAGTTGTAAGATTATGGTATTTCCAAAGTCTTTCCCAAGAGATGAGTATATTCTCAATAGCAGGCATGTAATTTGCATATTAAATATGAAAAGGAAAAAACAGAGTAATTTTATATTTTTGATATTAAATAAAATTACAAACTAAAACTTTTTTTAATCAATTACTGCTCAGGGAATAGATACAATACATTCAACAGGACAGGTATTCCAGTTACTGGGTTGTAAGCTTGGCAGTGTAACAGGGACTATGTGTAAGATTTCCAGAGTCTAGATCAAACATCCTGAATCTAACTTACTTTGTGCTGATTCTGTACTCATCAAACTATCTGATTATTAACTAGGTCTCATAGGACTCTTAATGTCTAAGGTAGTGCTCTAGATAGTTTCAAAAATTTTTCCCTATAAAGACATTATTTTACTAATGTATATTATGTACATTACAACATACATGTATAAAAAAAAAATTCAAAAGAGTCAGACATAAATATATAGAAGTTCCAATATTTTCTTCTCACATCTGAGTGGCATAATCTGGAAGTCAGTGCTTTAGAGAAATAGGTATGAGTGTTCTAGGTAATGAAAAGGTATAAAACTGTCATCATTGATAAGGTGGAATGTATAATTCATCTCTGGCTAAAATGATAAAATCAAGTTTCTGACTCTTTAACCTTTGCACTGGGCCACAGTGAGGCTCTACCAAGGTACTGCCTCTATTCAATGAAGTCCCAATATTGTTTTGACTACAAGAGAGATTCTAGGTAATGACCACAGAAAGCTTAAACAATGAGAAACCAGACGTGTTCTTATCAAGAAAATATATCTTAAGTGCAGTATGGTAAGGAAAACAAGACTCAATTTAAAATGTTGATCAGAAGTTTAAATAATGATATGGTACAATTTCTCCTTCCTTGGCAGCAAAAAAAAAAAAAAAAAAAAAGTCTCTTACTCACCTGAATAAAATGTGTTGATTTTGGCAAGTTCTTTTTCACAGGTTTGGAAAAATTTCTCTTCAAACTTGGCAAAATACCTCTTTACTGTGTCCTCATCTGTAACTGAAAGACAGGAAAACAATATTTAAATTTAATGTCCAAAGGCCAATTGAGAAAACTTAGAAAACAAAAACTAAGGAACTTTTTGGGTTTTTAAAATGACAACTTTATATGTATGTCTCTGAAAAAATGAATTGTGAACCATATTAAGAAAAGACTAATCAGAGACTTCTTCAGGCTGGCTCATGAGCAGTGGCTCATGCCTATAATCCCAGTACTTCAGGAGACCGAGGTGGGCAAATCACTTGAAGTCAGGAGTTCGAGACCAGTCTGGCCAACGTGGCAAAGCCCCACCTCTGCTAAAAACACAAAAATTAGCTGGGCATGATGGTGGACACCTGTAATCCCAGCTACTGGGGAGGCTGAGGCAGGAGAACCACTCGAACCTGGGAGGTAGAGGCTGCAGTGAGTCAAGATCACACCATTCCACTACAGCCTGGGCAACAGGGCAAGACCCTGTCTCAAAAAAAAAACAAAAAAAAAACCCTCTTCATAAGACCACACACAAGCTTAAGTGGAGGCTGTCCTAAAGCTCTACTATAATAAATTTATAATGATGGAGAAAATAAGTGTTCTAAGACTTCAGAAGAGGAAAAAACCTGTAGACAGAATTCATCAAGTAAGATTCAATGAATTCCACTGAGTGAGTAGAATTCATTCAGCAAGAGAATAAATATCTGAGGGAAGAAAAAAATGCAAAGCAAAGGTATCAAGACATGAATGCATAATACGTTTCCGGGAAAACGAGTTGATTTTGTTCTATGTTAAATTGCGGTCTATTTATTTTTACTTTAGCTGTACCACATACAGTGAAAGAAGTGTGAACTGAAAAGTAAATCAGAAGTTCCAAATCTTTAGGAGCTGGAAAGGTAATATAAATGTGTTGAGCAAGTAGATGTTTGTGCAAATGTGTTGAGAAATGACAAGTGACACCTTCAGGAAAAGGAGTGGTAGGGATTCTGACAAGCTGGAAAGCATATGCCTGTCTAGTTGCTGCCATGTGGTGATGTGGGCCCAGTATGTCAAAGCTTTCCATTTTTCAGGAGAAGCCATAAATCCAGATATTTTTAAAACACAGTGTTGGCCAATCAATATATGTTTCTGCAGGCTGGATCTACTCTGTTGAGTTCTGTCACACAGCATCTCAACCTACTGAATCCCATATGTAGAGATATATGTAACTTTAGGAACCCTGAGCCTAAAATGGTATGTTTTTTGCCCAAGTGAGATCTAATTAGACTTTCTAGATGCTAATATTAATAATATAGAACTATCCTATTCCTGGATGTCTGGGGTACTCTAAGATTGAAATGTACAGAAAAAGTATAGGTTCCTTTCTGAGCCTCAGGTCTCCCAAAACTCAGTGCAGTCCCAGAAACTCTTAAAATAATCCAGCTGTCTAGAAATAAGGAAAATAATGCAGGATGTCCTATTGATTCTGTAGTAAAACAGGATGGCCACTTTGAAGTCCGCAATCTAGATACAATAAAGGCTATAGCTACCCAAGAGCACTGAAAATCATATTTTTATTTTTATTTTTTCAAAGCATGAAGCAGGTCACAATTTTTTTTTTCCCAAATTTTAAAGCTGAGCTTGAGTTAAGGAAGCTCCATGGTAACAGATGCAGCTCATATAATTGCACCTACCTCTAGCTGATTTAAAATAAGAGTAACAGCTTATTCTACTTAATTACCTAATTATCTTTATTTTATTCTCTATTGTTAGGAAAGAAAACCCAAAAGCAAAACATGGGCTTGGTCATATCAACTGTGTTTTTCTCTTAACACCCAACTTTTATTAACATAAAGCGATAGAAATAAAATTGTCTAGCAAAGTGATTTAAACACAGCTTCTGTTCTTAAAATAATTTTTAATATATAATAATGTTCACATAGGTTGTATATTCAACATCAACTATTTATAATATCACCAATAATTCAGAAACAAAAAATACAGGCCTCTGAGAAACTAAAATATACAAATTCCATGTGTTAAAGCATGAATATTCTACCCATGAATCAGTCTCCTAAGAATTTATTTCCTTGCTTTAAAGATTGTTTTATCTGGCCGAGTGTGGTGGCTCACACCTGTAATCCCAGAGCTTTGGGAGGCCGAGGCAGATGGATCACCTGAGATCAGGAGTGTGCAACCAGCCTGACCTGGTGAAACCCTGTCTGTATTAAAAATATAAAAATTAGTTGGGTGTGGTGGCTCACACCTATAGTCCCAGCTACTCCGTTGGCTGAGGCAGGAGAATTGCTTGAATCTGGGAGGAGTTGGAGGTTGCAATGAGCTGAGATCTCACCACAGCACTGCAGCCTGGGTGACAGAGCAAGACTCCGTCCCAAAAAAGAGAGACAGAGAGACTGTTTTATCTAAAATACTGCCAGTTTGTTTAGTTTTCTAATTCACACATAAAATAGCCACTAATCAGAAGAAGGTAGAGTAAGGATATACAGTAACACTAACAAAACAAAAAAAATAGCTAAGAAAGAGAAAGAGAAAAAATATAAATAAAAACAGCAAGTATTCAAAAGAAGTAAAATGAAAGACAGTGTTTTTGCCTTCTCAGACTTCAAAAGACTTGGTAAACTACTATAAATAAAATATACTTTTAGTAAATAAATGAGAAAAACACAGCAAAAAGAACAGAATAGAGAGTCCAGAAGTAAATCTGCGTGTGTGTGTGTGTGTGTGTGTGTGTGTGTGTGTGTGTGTGTGAATGTTTAGATTATGATAAAGGAGACTTCAAATCTCAGTGAGAAAAGAATGAACTACACATGAATAGGGCTAGGTCAACCAGTCATCAATTTAGAAAAATCTCAAAATGGAGTTTAAAAAATGCTATAAAGGCCGGGTGCAGTGGCTCACACCTGTAATCCCAGCACTTTGGAAGGCCGAGGCGGGTGGATCATGAGGTCAAGAGATCGAGACCATCCTGGTCAACATGGTGAAACCCAGTCTCTATTAAAAATACAAAAAATTAGCTGGGCATGGTGGTGCGTGCCTGTAATCCCAGCTTCTCAGGAGGCTGAGGCAGAAGAATTGCCTGAACCCAGGAGGCAGAGGTTGCGGTGAGCCGAGATCACGCCACTGCACTCCAGCCTGGGTAACAAAAGCGAAACTCTGTCTCAAAAAAAAAAAACAAAAGCAAAAATGATATAAAATGCTATACAAAAATAAAGCATTTAAGTAATTCCACATGAGGAAGGCATTCTTTTTCTATTGCATTTTAGGTTTTGGGGTACATGTGAAGAACATGCAAGATAGTTGCATAGGTACACACGTGGCAGTGTGATTTGCTGCCTTCCTCCCCTTAACCTATATCTGGAATTTCTCCCCATGCTATCTCTCCCCAACTCCTCACTCCCCACTGTCCCTCCCCTATTCCCCCCAACAGACCCCAGTGTGTAGTGCTCCCCTCCCTGTGTCCATGTGTTATTATTCAACACCCACCTATGAGCGAGAACATGCAGTATTTCATTTTCTGTTCTTGTGTCAGTTTGCTGAGAATGATGGTGTCCAGGTTCATCCATGTCCCTACAAAGGACACGAACTCATCGTTTTTGATGGCTGCATAATATTCCATGGTGTATATGTGCCACATTTTCCTTGTCCAGTCTATCATTGATGGGTATTTGGGTTGGTTCCAGGTCTTTACTATTGTAAACAGTGCTGCAGTGAACATATGTGTGCATGTGTCTTTATAATAGAATTATTTATAATCCTTTGGATATATACCCAGTAATGGGATTGCTGGGTCAAATGGAATTTCTATTTCTAGGTCCTTGAGGAATCGCCACACTGTCTTCCACAATAGTTGAACTAATTTATACTCCCACCAACAGTGTATATATCCAAAGGATTATAAATCATTCTACTATAAGGTCACATGCACACGAATGTTCATTGCAGCACTGTTTATAATAGCAAAGACCTGGAACCAACCCAAATGCCCATCAATGATAGACTGGACAAGGAAAATGTGGCACATATACACCATGGAATATTATGCAGCCATCAAAAATGATGAGTTCGTGTCCTTTGCAGGGACATGGATGAACCTGGAAACCATCATTCTCAGCAAACTGACACAAGAACAGAAAATCAAACACCGCATGTTCTCACTCATAGGCGGGTGTTGAACAATGAGAACATATGGACACAGGAAGGGGAGTATCACACACTGGGGTCTGTTGAGGGGGACCAAGGGAGGAACATTTGGGGGTAGGGAGTTGGAGAGGGATAACATGGGGAGAAATGCCAGATATAAGTGATGGGGATGGAGGCAGCAAATCACATTGCCATGCATGTACCTATGCAACAATCCTGCATGTTCTGCAGACATACCCCAGAACCTAAAGTACAATAATATATATAAGAGAAACAGCAGAAAGATATATCTATAACATTTAAAATAAATGATTAGCATGCAAAATATATTTTTTAAAAGTCTTACAAGTTAATATTAAAAAGATATTTGATTCCATAAGAAAAGTAAGTGAATTACAGCAATTCACAGACAAAGAAATATAAATGGCCAATGAATAAATGAAAGGATGCCAGATGTCATACAAATGCAACTTTTAAAAAAGGAAATACAGTTTTTCAACTATCAGGTTAGAAAGAATTTTAAAATAGTGGTATTATTGGCAATGGTAAGGACACATGAACACACTAATTCCTTGTTAATGTAAGTGTAAATTTTAGGAAGACAATCTGGTAGAAGCTATCAAAATTTTCAGTGTTTAATCCCACATGTAGGAAATGTATTCTAAAGTAATCTCTACACAAATGAATGAATTTCCAAAGATGTTCATTCACCATTTTCTTTCTTTTTCTTTTTTTTTTTTTTTTTGAGACAGAGTCTTGCTCTGTCACCCAGGTTAGAGTATAATGGTGTGATCTCAGCTCACTGCATCCTCCGCCTCCCGAGTTCAAGTGATTCTCCTGCCTCAGCCTCCCAAATAGCTGGGATTACAAGCATCTGCCACCATGCCCAG